AATAATATATTTTATATGTTATATGTTATAATATATTGTAATGTTACAATTAGGTTAAAATAGGTTAAAAGAGGTTAAAATAGGTTAAAATAGGTTAAACTAGGTTAAAATAGGTTAAACTAGGTTAAAATAGGTTCCCTCTCGTCGTGCGCCACCTTGTCGTGGCGAGAGGGCTCACCGGGGGAATACCTGAAAGGGTGTTCCCGCGGTGCTAAGAGCGCACAGTTCCTCCGCTGGGGGGAACAAGAGGAGCCCAGCGACTCCTTAGGGACTTGTCCCAATCGCTGGTAGGAGACGGGGACTCTGACTTCAAACCCCGGTGGCATGGCACCGTTAGGGGGAGGATTTCTATCTCCCTCCATGCACGGGCGGCCAGGCTCGTTAGCCCAGTGGGCGGCTGGCCAGGGGGTGCTCCCCCGTGGTTGAGGCCTGTCTTGGCCGGGGCTGCTGCTCCGGCGGGACGGGTCTCTGGTGGGGTCACTTCGGTGGCCCTGTCTAAAGGGAAGGGATGTGGGTGCCGGTTCCCTCTGTGTCTCGGGCGGATGTCCTTTTTAGGACATGCCGTCTGGCATGGAGGGAAAGCGGAGTCCCACAAGGGAAGAGCCCTCCCTCTTTGGCCAAACGACGCGTGGACGTGGTCCTCGCGTACGCGGCCGTGAAGGAGGGTGCGGGCCGGCGATGTCCTGGAACTCCACCGGGCTCGTCGGGCCGTGGCCGTTCCCCGAGCCGCTCGGACGTTTCCGAGGCAGGGTCGGAGACGGCGGTGAAGCCGAGTCGGTCTCTAGGAGCGTAGCCCGAGGAGTCCAACTCGGAACGCACCAAGCCCGGTGCGGCGGTGGATGGAAACCACATAAAAAAAACCCGGGTAGGCTGGGCTCGTTAGCCGTGGAGTAGGCAACCGGCCTAAGGGTGGAGGGCCCTGAGAAAACCCTCTCGAGGAAGACAACCTCGTTAAAAAATTACATTCTATGGTAACGAAATGTTTCGCAAGGGATTTTTGTTACGGTCCCAGGGTGATCGGACACCCAGGGATTCGGCGGGGGGGGCTATCGTCCCAGGTGCCCCCTCGTCGACGGCGTCCGCAGTAGCGGCGCCGGAATCCGGCGATGGGCTTCCGGTGGAGTTGACTCCGAGCTCCACCGGTGAACGTGCTATCGGTGAGGTAGCGCAGGGGCTGGCTGACTCTTCGGAGTCAACCTTCCAGTGCTTCCGCAAGGAGACTGGCTAGGTGTCGCCCGCGCCGCGGACGAGTTCATGAGGCTGATGCCTCGATGTCCTCCAACTTTGGAGGTCGATGGGGACGAGGAAGTGAGCTGGCAGCTCAGCTTCGTCCCCAAGTACTGGGGGGTTGCCCTCCAGTACCTGATGGAGGCGCTAGAGAAGGGGGGTCCCTTCCCGGGCGAGCTGATTAACAGCCTCGAGAAATCTCTCGAGACTGAGCGAGCCCGGGCTAGGGAGCCCCTCTTCGCAAAAAATGGTGGGCAAGTACCAACTGTCCAACCTTCTTGAGGAGAAAGGTCCGGGGGACGGAGCCAACCGCAAACCTGCGGAGCCCTCCTCTCCGGCACCAGACGCCCCCTCGACCTCGTCGACGGCTGCCGCCGACGAGCCAATCGAGATCGAAGAGGAGGAAGAGGTAGGGAGGCAGCAGCCCCCCCGCACCAAATCCAGGGGAGTTCCCGCTGGAGCGCAGTCGAGGCAGGCCCCGTCTCGATGGACAGGGCCCTTACAAGCCTCCGTCCATCTCCATTGAGGAGATGGCGCAGCGCCAAGAGGATGGCATCCCCCAGCCTTGGGAGAGACTGGGGGATGTCAGGAAGAAGAGAGAGAGGTCCCCGAGGGCCTCAAGAAAAATCTACGTCCTCACTGATAGTGAGGACGATGACAATGAGGCGCCCCTGCGACTGACCCGCCCACCGAGATTCACGGCGCCGCAGCGGCAAGATGTCGACTTGTTCCTGCGGGACATTCTCGACAGGTCTCCGATGGCAGCGGCCTCGGAGGCCGCCGCGCTGGCGGACGAGATCGAGGCGATCCGCTCCAAGTCCACCTCTATCAGGGGGGACTGGAGCGGTCGCCTCAAGAAAGACAGCTATCTCCTCAAGGAGATAGTTCTGGCTTTTGGCCAACGGTTGGCGGACTCTGGGGGCGGGGAACTATCCCGCCTCCAGAGAGAGTTGGAGACTCTCCGGGAGGAGGTAATAGTCCTCCGGAGAGAGAAGGAGGAGATGCGGCGGGAGATGAGAACATCTAGGTGGTCTCCCTCTCCCCCCAGCGTACACCCCCCCGTCCCGGACCCCTCTGGCACTCAGCCAGAGGCAACTGGGGCGGAGGTGGACAGGGTGCATTTGGCACTCCCCCCCCAGTCAGGCGACTGGGGGATGGAAATAGAGGAACCTTCGGGCGGGGGGGACTTGTCGCCCCCTCGTCCCCCCAGGGCCCCCTCTCCTCCTCCTCCTCTTCCTCCGGGGATTACCCCGGCAATGAGGGAGATGCTGGAGGGAGTCGCCACCATATTTAAAGATGGCATGGCGAGAATGTCGGCGGTCCTCTCGTCACTAAACGAGAGAGTCGCCGACCTCGAGGCGGCGCGCGCGCCGTCGAAGCAGCGCCCCTCCCAACCCCCTCCTCAACCGCGGCCCCCGACTTCGGGCGCCGTCTCGAGGAGTGCGAAAAGGAGGGAGTCACGCAAAAGGCGGGCCGCCAGATTGGCGGACCCACCTCTGGGGACCCCGGCTGACGGGGGACCGGACTCGGGGGCGGGGGTGTCAGTTCCCCCCGTCTCGGCCCTGGCTCCCTCATACGCCGAAGCGACGAGGAGCAAGAGGGGGGGCAAGTCCAAGCCAGCCCCTCCACCGCCGACTGATGGGAAGGCCAAGGCCCCCACAGAGGCGGTGAAGAAAAGGGAGGCCCTGCAGAGGGCCAAGAGGCGGCTGCCCAAGACGGCGGCCGTTATGATCTCGGTTCCTCCGACGGCCTCCCTTTCGGAGGTAATGAGTAAAGCCAAGTCCTCCATTAAACTGGAGGACTTGGACATCAAGGGTGTCCGCGCGCGGACGACACTCGCGGGGAATTTCCTCATCGCCATCCCTGGCGTGGGTGCAGAGGCCAAGGCCGACGCCCTCGCCAGGGAGATGAGGAAACATGTCGGGGACGAGGCGAAGATATCTCGTCCCTGTACTTATTCCGAACTTCGCCTCCGCAGTGTCGAGATGTTCGCCACGGCGGAGGACATCGCAGCCGCCATTGCCACGCATGGCGGCTGCCAGAAGGAAGATGTGCGGGTAGGCCCACTGCGCCCCCCGCGAGGAGGTAATAGGGTGGTCTGGGTGAGGTGCCCCTCCAGGGCCGCGATGAAGATCGCGGCGCTACAGGGGCTACAAATAATCTGGGCCACCGCTAAGGCTGACCTGCTCCCAGCCAGACCAACCCGGTGTTACCGGTGCCTGGCTAGGGGGCACACGCAGCAGCAATGCCCGTCCAAAGTGGACAGGACACGCTGCTGCTTCAACTGCGGTGGGGAGGGCCACGGTGCGGGCACCTGCAAAGCCCCGCCGAGATGCCCCGTATGCGCCGACCGCGGTAAAGAGTCCGGGCACCGGGCGGGGGCACAAGAGTGCCCTCGAGTACCCCCGGTCGCCTCGACGGCCAAAGGGGCCGCGGGCTCCTCGGCGCCATTCCGGGCCCCGGCAAGCCGGGCCCCCCGGACGGCCCGGGAGTCCTCGGCAAGAATCCGAGGGGTGCCCCGACCAAGTAGGCCGGGGTCGCCTGCGGAAACGGCCTCGGTGATGTCGGATCTCTCGACACACACCGAGGCCGGGGAGAAGCGCCCTCGACCGGCGGAGGGGTCGGACTCCGATCAGGCCCAACAACTGCCGGCCAAAAAGAGAGCCGGAAGGAGCGAGACTGGGGCGGGCCGCAAGCCAGGGCCCAGGTCCCGCACCACGTCCCGTAGTCGGGACAGATCCCCCCTGACGCTGTCTCAGCGTCGGGAAGAGGAGGATCTCTCCGACTAGGGGGCCCAGGGCCCCTGAGAAAGATAAGAAGGGAGAGGAGGAGGAGGACTCTCCCCCTCCAAGATTAGACGAGAGACCTGTAGAAGGTCTCTTTTAGGAGATGTTCCCTCGAGGGACTCGCCTGGTGGTCGGGGTGAAGTATACCGATGGTTTTCCGCCCCGGCCATCACAAGGCTGGTAAGCCTTTTGTCAGGGGGGTGGGTTTTAGTTGGTAGGCACCGGTTTCCAAAGCTAAATAGCAAAGAAACCGGTGAATCCAACACTACCCCGGCGCCGGGACAGTCAGACTG